CAGCAACAACACCTTACACTAACTATTATAGGTAGTCTTTGATTTTATTTATGGATTAGAAGTTACTGCTAATAACACATAACACATACAAGCTACATAAAGACACAGTTCAGAGAATTCAGGCTCTTTCATGGCCTCCTTATTTATCATACAGAAACACAAGTTTAACTTGTAGCATCTGTTTCAAAGTACTCCTTAGAGTCTTTTAAACGTTAATCTTTGAAGTCAAACAACTGTTTTAAGATATACCCTTTTGCTTTATTAGACCTAAGCATGGAGCAAAGTTGTAGGACATGTCCATCCCGGCGGCGTCTTGAAACACTTCTCAATACTAGGTGTCTCAGACTGACATATTAAATGTTATGTTGAAAGTGACTAAATGTATAATAGAGCTCCTTTAAGTACACACTATAGTGCATTTCTCTTTGCACATACATGCACAAATTGAAAATGATTTGGTTGCATATTAACTGTTCAGTAGTGAAACAAATAATTTAAGATAAAGAAATAGTCTAAGTTTTATTAGCGATTTCATTGTGTTTAGTTCTGCTTGTTTTTTCATGAAGTTATGGCTTCTCTCTGTGTGGTATCGTGCGTCCCAGTTTTTGCCCAGGACAGATGTCCTCTTCATCAAGCTGCACAATAAATGACTGACAGGTCTCATCCTCGAGCAGACATCCATATGGAGGCCTCACTGGTCTGACTGGACACCACAAACGTCACCCACCATGCAGGCTGTCAGAAATGTTCGCATCAGATTCTTAACAGTAGACAGCTGCTTTTGATTTGTTATATTTCTATCAAATCATCCAAGCCATCCATGCCTAAATACATTCAAGACAAAAAATATAAAGCACTCAGTTGCACATTTGTGTTTCATGAACAGAAATAACTTTTCAAGAGTGTCAAGATGTTTTTAAAAGATTTGAGTCATTTCATCCACAGATTTCATACATCAGCAATAAGTTAGAAATGTATGAACTGGGCTCAAGAGACTTGACTTTGACGTGATTTTTAGGGACAGCTAAGCTTGTGATATATAGCCTGGATTTGTTAAGGGATACTCTGCACCTAGATTTATTATATTTTACAGAAAACATCTCAAATGGCTTATGGTCGAGGTGTGAAGGTCTTTTAAAGGAATAATAATAACAAAAGCCAGGTGTCAAGGTGTCAAGGTTTTGGGTTTGTAGCAAGAAAAAACAAAAGTGATGGAGACGGACGGTCAGGCTGTGACAAATACCGTAAATCATCATCTCTGAATCAAATCTGTGTCAGCCCTGATTTTACTTCCTAGAAGCTCTATCGTAAATCTACTTTGCTCCTTGGGTTTTTGTCTTGAATGTAACGTAGACAAACTCCTTCAGTGACACTAATACTCAGAATACTCTGGTTAAATTGATCTTCAATTTCAGGCATTAAGAAATCAAAAGATGGAAAGAGCATTGACTTGGGGTCTCTCTGCAGTTTAAAATAACCCAACAATGTACAATGTTTCTACAAATGTCTGTGACCTCTTTCAATAAATTAAAGAATAACTAATAAAGATACTATACTATAAACAACTGTCCCACTCGAAATATATGTAGTTTAAAAATGTGAAAGAAAACAGGAAATGTTTGTCAGACCTTCAAAAGCACAAAAACAGTTTGACAGTAAGTGTCATGGTACTCTTGTTTAGTTAGTTTATACCTTGTTTTGTTACTTGGTTGTAATTTTCTATCTTTTTTGGTCATTTTCTACCCTAGTGGTGCTTGTGTGTATTCTTGTGTTTAGTTCTTTATGTTTTCCTGTTTTATTTTGAAGTTCGATTGTTACTTCCTCCCTTTGTGTGTTTCCCTCCCTTTTTGATTGCCTTCATCAGTTTCACCTGTGTCTTGTTTGTCACACCTGTATTTCATTGGCTCTTGGTCTGGAACTGAAAGAGTAAGCCTTTGTTTTTCAAATACATCTTCAGTTTTATTATTACCGGTAATTTGCACTTGGGTCTACCTTTTATTTTTGACAGTAAGATTAAGTATCAAACCTCTTTCAAATAAACAGCAAGGAAATGAACTACAGCAGATCGTACATACCAGTGACACTGCAGAGATGATACAGATTGATTTTTTGTGTGTTGCTTGTGTTTCTCCCTTTGCAGATGAAGTGCAGGTGAACTTAACTTCTTTATCTCGGCCTGTTATTTGACCCACAGAGCAGGTCAGGAGTCAGGACATCTTCATTAAGAAAGACTAAGGTAACAATGTGAAGAAGTGAGTTATTCCACAGTGGCTATTCCACAGAAACTCACGCAATAAAATGTGACTTTAGAAGGGAAATAAATATGGAGGACGATTGCCGTTGTCATCCGGCTGTGTGGTACGTCTTCACGAGATATTAAAAAAGGATTTCATGTTGTTTCAATATTTCCACAAGATCCTCTTCCTTTTCAATACTGCACTTGATTTGGGGCTCAGTTGTGTTTATATGTGCTGCCTTGTTAGTGAGCTGTGAAAGTCGCTCTCCTGGGCTATTGTGGATATCCCGTCCAGGCTATGCAATCTGTCTGATGCTCTGAGGCTCCAACTCAATAAGTGTTTTAACCTTCCGTTAATAAGTTGCTGCTTTAATTGGCTCGTTGTTGACAAGTTTTAAGAGGTACAGAATTATCCAGAGTTCAATAAAAAATCCCTGAAAAAAAGCAGTTTTGCTCTAAAGATCTGTGTTTCTCTGACATTCTTCTTAAGGGTTGCAGGTTGACAAAATAAATAAAAAAACACAAATGAACAACCAAAGATGAATGACATACATAACTGAAGATAGGACATAACAGAACATTCATAAATGTAGCCTACAGAAAATTACAAGTTTCTATCCATTGAAGCACAAAAAGGGACCCTTTTATCTTAATAAAACCAAACGATGAAACCAGCTGAGTTGTGTATAAAATCTGAATCTCAGGTCTGAGTGGAGTGTTTATCTCACTCTGCTGCTGCGTCTGTGCACAGATGCTTTAAAATGCACCACAGCTACATTTCGTCATGCAGACATGTCAGGACAGCGTGTCAGGGGCTATTTCCTGTTGGTAGCATGAGATCGGCTTCAAGCTCCGTCAGCACTTCATACCAATGATCGATGGCATACAGGCTTTAAAACCACAGAGCCTATTTCGTGCCAACCCAGTACACACACACACACACACACACACACACACACTTGTTTTTTTTATATTTGAAATAAGATGACATGGCAGCAGAACTTGCTGACCTTATCTTCTAACCGGACTGGAGTCACACAACCAGTGAACCAGGTTTTACAACCAAACATGAGCAGAAGACCAAACCACAGTCGACAACACACGAAAGCATCTTTAAACTGCTTCCTCTTCACAAACCAGACCAAAGAATTAGAGAATTTTAAGCAGATTGTTGTATTTTAAATGATTTTAGATTTAAAACCACTTTCTTATAACTCACTTTTTTTTAAAAACATTTTGTTCATATAAGGATTAAGTTGTGGCTTTATTTATTACAAATGCTGTTGTTATGTAAACCATATTTACATGTTTTTTAGATTGTTTCGTTGTAGAAAGGTACTTTGCGAATGGTTTTTACCTCTTTTGCTTCAACTCTCTGAGAAGTATGAAAGGTAATATGTGGATAATACTGCTTTATGTTTGAATAATAAGATCTTACCCAGTGATTTATAAATCGATTAAGATATTAACAGGAACAGCTTTAGAGGTGACGAGTGAGTTTCAGAGAATCTGAAGAAAAAAGGTTTTCATTAACATCTTCTTTACAAACTGCACACTGGATCACTGTGGAAACTCTCACTGAGTTGGCTAATTAGGAAGTGAGAAAAATGTTTCACAAGATTACTGATCAAACCTTTTAAATTGATATTGTATATTTCATATTGTATTCCATTTTAAGAAAAACATTACAAAAACACCAGGAGGAATTTCATACAAAGTTTACTCGTATTACTCGAACTCTTAAGCATAAATCAAAGATTATCTTTAAACCTCATTATCATCAAACATATTGAACATATAGAGAAAAGCAAGCCGGTAAGAGGACCCCAAAAACGCCTTCACAACATAATGTCAACTCAATATCTGTCCGTATTTTCTGTGAAAGTTTTTATCTTGATTATAAAGAAACTAAATTATTATTTGAGGTAAGATACAGTGTGCATTTTGCATTAAGCAAACTTTAGTTTGAAAACTTGTTGATTTTGTGCTGCGGTTTCCCAGAATGTCTCCAAAAGACAGAGTGGCCCACCTTATAGATTGTTACATTTTAAATAAGGACCAATGGCAAACATAAACACGACACATTCTATCTATTAAAACCTGCAAAAACTTGCAAAACTGAGTGCTTTGAGTTGTGGACCCAATCAATTGTTATTTATGAAAATCATTCATGAAACGAACTTTTGAACAAAGTCATGACAAATTAAAAGTAGAATAAGGCACCTCTAAATGAATCCCCCAGTCTGTAGGGTTGTGGGTTAATAAAACAATTGTTGCACATATTATAAAGGGTTATTTACAAGAAAGAGAGTGATATGTGGTGATGAATTATAGTTTATAATATTGGTGGTTTTTAATCTGACTTTGTTTTTATCTTTTTTAATGGACTCCTGAGTCTGTCAACAAAGCTGCTGACAAACAGGATGTTGATGAAGATCCCTGTCACATAATTACACATTTTATTATCAGATTTATTTCAGTAGCCTATACTTTGCACAAGCCTACTCATCACTGCACTATAGTGTCTTATTAGTCATGCTTATTTTGTGCTATATTGTTGATATTTAAGACTAGTTATAGGCTACAATGAGAGCTCAGTTCAGTCCAATTCCTTGTGTGTGTGTGTGTGTGTGTGTGTGTGTGTGTGTGTGTGTGTGTGTGTGAGCATACCTGGCCAAAAGCTGATTCTGATTCCGATTCTGAATTTAAAAAATATTTGAAAGTCCACATCAGTTAATTGACAAATAAAGAGTCTAAAACTTACCATATTGACTTCTGACACCATGTCTATACTCGCCACGTCTATACTCATGCCAACAGCAACCGGTCGACCTGAAATACAAAAAATAAAGTTAACTACTGAAAAACTGTGGTATGATGAAGACACAAGACGGGAAGCAATTATGGTCAAACATACCTCCGAAGTCCGGCCGGAGACGGATATCATATCCTTTTAGCAGTTTGTCCACAGTTTCTTTGACAAAAGACATGTTACCCGGCTCGTTGACGCTGAAACAGAGAAAAAAAATAGGAAGAATAAGTCTTTTTGAAGTGTTTTATACTATCACCTGTGTCCGGGTATAGGACTCCCAGACTCTCACCTCTGCGCGCAGCACATCACCACAACGACCAGCGGCAGACACACTAACTTAAAGCCCCATGATGTCCGGGGTCCCCTCATCCCCGCTGTGGAGTCTGGGTGGTGGGTTGAATGACTTAAAAAAGGAGAAGCCCCGGTGTTCAAACTCCCGCTGAGCTCCGACAAATCAGGTGAGACTCCTTCTTCTTCCTCCACATGGTGTGTGACGGCGGGCTATACCTCCGGCTGTGTTAACATGCTTCATGAGGCAGAGACGTGTTTAGCAGAGAGGAGTTCATCTGTGATGCAGCAGCGGAGCAGACAACCTGACACACAGCTGCCCCGGATCTCCATCCTCCGCTAAGTTTTTCTTAAATATTCATTATCGCGCTTTAAATCCACAGGTCCTCTGCTGCTCTTATAAATAACCCCACACACTGAGCCTGCCCTGCTCACACTAAAGATAACTCTGAGTGTTGGTCTCTTCATGAAAGTGTGCCCATGTGACACACTGTATATTAGAGCTGTTTAATGAGCTGTCCTGAATTTATAAAGTCAGATAGAGCAGCAGTTTAATGCTGTGAAGAAATACAGTGTGCAGAGGAGAGGAGGACACTACATGTTGTTAATCTGCTACTTTATTACTGTAGCTTTGCTTGTAGGTAGTTTAACTAAAGGGTGGATTAAAGGAAAGGTTGTCATTTATTGAATGTCCACCTCCTGTTAGCTCTCTCAACACATGTTACATTTCTTTAACACTCAGTGGTGGACAAAGAATACATCTTCATTAGGACTACTTGAGTCAAAGTAGATAGCCTACTGGTCAAATATTCCTCCAGTACAAGTGAAAGTTCAGTCAAATTATTACTTAAGTTAAAGTTCTGGAGTACTTCCTTTAAAAATCCCTCAAGTATTCAAACTACCTAAAAGAATCTTTAAAAAGTTGTTGAGTCAGGCAGGTACATCGGTGTACATCCTGCTCTATGATTATTTAAACAATTCTTATTTACATTATTTAAAGCTCAAAACAGATTTCCAGATTTGAAGCTCCAAAATAAAGTGAACAGAAAAAAAGGAACAACTAAAAACACCTGAAGACCATGCAGGGAAAATGTCAGCCGCAGGCTTTACACAGTGAGAAAAGGTCACATTTCAAACATGGGCTGAAGATATGGCCATGGGTACTCAGGTGGAGAATCGTCATCCTTCTCTGCCATAGCCATCATAACCAGCACTAAATGAACTGCCTGATCTGAGTGATGTTTGCTCTACGCTTGCTCTATGTTGGATGGAGACGAGGGGGGGCGTTCAGGTACAGTATGGCAACAACACTTAGACAAACCACACCCAGCACCAGAATGGTCTAAAGTGGTCCAAAGCGTTTTTCTAGTAACATTTGGGTGATTGGGACAGCACATTTAATCATGAATTAAGGCTACTCTAATCATTTTAATTTAATCTTTAACCAGTTCAACAGGGCTTAAATGTAGAGATGCACCGACTGCAGCAGTCAGGCCGGATACCGATGTTTACAATAACCGTTTTGCCAATTCTGATACCGATGTTTGATTCACGACTTCTTTTGGTGCAAGGCTCCCACAATGCCAATGCTTTTGTTTTTCTATTGTTTGACCATGACACAACAGATCAGAGTTTGTACAACATGTGACTTCCTCTGAATAGGTAGTCAGGTGTACTAGATGAGGTCAAAGAATTGATTCCACACAACATCGGCTTGGACATCAGTTCATGCCACATCACTTGCAGATGTTTTGATATCAGTCAACAGGGCCGATATTGGCTGATACAGATGTTTAAACATTGGTGCATCCCTACTGAAAAGCCACAAAAAGTTTACAGGCTGAGATAAATGCAAAAACATTTAGAGATCGTTTTCATCTTTAGCTATCATCAGATAATCAAAGATTGAAATGTTTGAGACTGTTTTTCTTCACCAATTGTTTTAAACACTGTTCCTGAGGACACCAGGAGGACATCAGGAGATCTGCTCTCTGTATCCTTTCTCTCTCAGCTCTTTTTTTTCTTTGCTACAGTATTCACTGTGGTGAGAGTAGTTCAATATCACTGCAGGGACCTAAAGTGCTCCTGAGCTGGACTCCTCCTAACAAATCAGACTTTTAAGGTCTTCTGCTGCATATAGAAGAAACATGTGAATTTAAGTGATTCTTACCTCGTGTCATAGATGGCGAACAGCTTTTTGTTCCCATCAACTGCGTTCCTGTGAATACAAAAAGAGAGGCGTTACTGTCTTTGCAAAAACTTTGTTTGATAATCTTGAGTCTCTAAACACAAAGCTTTCATCCAAATCTTTTCTCTTCTTAAGAATGTGAAAGAAATGGCTCTCTATATTGGACTGATTGCATTTGACCCCAATTCTGTTGGGGATGAATGCAGATTGATGAAACACATTGCAGAGTTATATTTGTTCTACAGACAAACATTTGTGACAAACTGTCTCCCGCTGCATTCTGGACCATTAAACAAAGAAAGCAGGACGCTGTTTTTTGTTTTTTTCCAAGGTATGTGTCCCACTTCAGTCAGGCCAACAACAAACTGCAGCACCAAGCCTGCTGAAGCCGTTTCACAGAAATAACGATACAAGATCAATTTTTCTTCCTCCGATAGATTCCTAAAGTAAAAATCGGAAACTCTGTGCAATCTATGTAGAGGATTTAGTATTTCCAATTTAAGCACCAACAATACTCCATATAAGGTCGCTGCTCATCACATATTTTGTTGCATGAGTCACTCAGGTATTGACAACAGATATGGACAAAGCTGTACGGCACCTGCAGCGTGCTGTTAATTTCACTTTGCATTACCCCCCCCCCCCCCCCCCGGCAGAAAAAGGACTATAAAGAAATAAACAATGTTGTCGATGGTGGTCCGGTTTTGATTTTGTAGCTCATAAAGAGTTCTAAATATTAGTTTCAGTCCGTTTCATCACCACCTAAAACTCTCCAGAGGAGCTTTGAGAAAGGGACGTGAATACAGGACTTCTAACAGCACTGCAGTACGGCAGTCACACTGATAAATCATTATTTAGTGCCACTTAAGACAATAAACTGTAAAAACGAGCAGCAGAACCCCAATGGTATATTGCAGTAACATTGCAGCAGCGTATATTGATTCTGTAAAACTCAAGTTTGTTGAAAATCAACCAAAATAAACACTGTGATGTTTGGTGGCCTACATTTAACTGATAAAAGAGCAGAAGGTGATTAATAATGCTTTTCAGGGGGCTGCAGAGATCCCTCCTACAGTTCTCATTGTTACTACTCATATCCTTTTATTCCCCCCCCTCTCTCTCTGCCATGCCGCCCCCTCCTCTGCTATCTGCCTCCTCATCTCTCTCTCTCTCTCTCTCTCTCTCCTTCTCCTGCATCTCTCCTCCACGCATCCTCCTGCCTGCCTGCGCTGCACGCTTCGCCTCTTTAAATTCGCACTAAACTCTATTTGCATTGTACTTCGCCCTTTGGATACACTGCTGGATTTTTTTGTGCAGAGCTTGCTGTGTGCTGTGCGCTCCTCGGAGACCAAACAGTAAAGGATGGTCGGTCAGCAGAAGTGTTGGGACGCTTTTCTCGTCCCGCTGCCAACATTTTAATCGCTCTGGGGCCAAATAAACCTCGCTGACAGAGAAATTAGTCCACCTCTCTTGTTTTTTTCTCCCTCTCTCCTTTTCCATCTCCTTTATACACTACCCACGCGTGGATGGAGGTGACGCTGTGCAGAATTGATGCCAAATAGTAAACAAGTGTAAATCTGCGGAGAAGTTTGACTGCGCATCGTCTTGTGTGGTAAGATTTTGGCAGCTGCGGCTCAGCCTGTGCAGCAGAGCGCTGTTACAACAGGCCACAGTACAGTGGGAGATGTGTGGGCATTGTGTGGAGAATGTTCTACTGTACGATGTAACCGAGCTGTGCTGGAGGAGCTGCGATGCTGTAGAGAACTGCGGAATGTGAGATTGAAATCCGGAGAGAGAGGGGTGTTCAGTCTCTCTGGAATTGGGATGTGAGTGCTTGAGTGAGTCGTGAATGAGGGGGATGCGGTGCAGTGTGCGTACAGTCACAGCAGAAACACTGAGGGGATTCACAGAAGGGTCCTGCTGCGGTGCAGGGAAGATTGCGGGGGTAACAGTTGAGCTTGTGGAGCACCTATATACAGCACAGGTAGATGCGTTTCGCACCTTTTAGCCCTGACTTGATATCCAGCACAGATAGCCTGTTTCCTGTCACAAGTCATCAACTTCTACAGAGGAGGCTCTTGCAGAGGGTTGAGTGTGTAGGAGAGCAGGGAAAGGATACACATTTGCTTCAAAAACAGGTTTGCATTGTGTAGACATCATACAGATGTTGGGCTGGAGGTTTCTTAATTGTGCATGTTGACACTTGATTTGCATCTGTTTTTAGCATTTGTGCACCTGATAAAGATTTATTGATCATTTTACGCTTCTATAAGGATCTTGCAGTGATATGGGCGGGATAGTAAGGGTGATGGTGAGATGTTTGCAAACCCCATATGGTTTTGAGAAAGAGGAACTTTGCACTATTTACAAATATGCTAACATCTGCAGGTCGTACAGATGTTCTGTCATGTCAAGCCAGCATTTAGCTGTGATTGTACCTGCATTTGTTGTGGCATTGGTGCACCTGGAAATATGAATTATAACTTAACGTTCTTCAGAAAAAAGGCTCTTCTGAGTGAGCTAGTTGGGCCAGAAGTGGGTTTCATTTTCCATTACCTGTACAGGTCTGTGCAGGTGTTGGGCTGTAGTGTTTTGGGGAAAGAAGGCATCTGTGTACACATTTATTTTAACGTTTTTCCATAAACAGTGTGACTCTAGATTTGCTCCTGTGAGTTTGGGAAATTTTGCAATTGGGCACCTGACACCTGATTAACCTGATGAACTCATCATGTTACCCCTCTATAGAAGGAGCCTGTGGGTTCAGGCTCCAAAAAAAGGAAAACACATTGTTTCAAGTGTAGAGTTTTAAGGAGGATATACTCCCAGGTAATCGGCAGCTCCCACACATGTTGTCAGGTTGGAGAGGCAGGATGGACCTATGTACATATTTTGTTGTGCGCAGGTTGCAGCATTGAACATTGCAACTGTGGATTTCCTTTGCGTGACTTTGCTTTTGTATTCAATTTGGCTTTTTCACACCTTCAAAATCTACAGGAAGTTCTTGTAGGGAGGAGAGTGGGTGTAGGAGAGGATTAACCAAAGAAAGGACACACGTTTTGCAAATTAGGATATCTGAGAAAGAAAAACTTTGCGTCATTCAGATACCAGTTTCTGTGCATGTCTTATAGATGTTGTCCTGTAGCGTTGAAAAAGGCAGAATGCAGATGTGGTTACTGTGGTTACCAGATGTGGATGTGAATGCATTTGCCACAGCTTTCAATTTGCTTCTGTGATGCACAAAGGTAGTATTTGTGCACTTGAAAAGATGACACCTTTAAACTTCTACATAAGGGGCTCTTGCCTTAAATAGGGCGAGCTTTAGGAGACGGTCCAACCAGGATAGAAATGTAATTTTACAAGTACAGAAACAGTAACTCCACACTCATCATGTATCTGCTCATTTCTGCAGGTTCTAGGTGTCCTGTAGTGTTAAGGCAGATCATGCATGTGGGCATCATTTTGTGAAAGGAGGGTTGCTGCATTATCTCTGACTCTGGATTTACTTCTGTGAAGTATACTGTTTGTGCATGTGCAGAGGATAGAGGGTATCTGTGTTATATAGGCATCTGCTAATATGTCTTACAGATTTTCTTCTGAGATGTAGCCGTTAAAACATTTGTGCTTATAATTATTTACTGATCACTTTACACTCTCAAAATGAGGCTTTTGCAAAGACATGGATGGGCTTTGGGAGGGGCTCAACCAAAGAAATGACACATCTGGAAGTTAAAAAGGAACTTTGCATTATTCAGACATCTAGTGACACCTGCAGGTTCTACAGATGTTGTTTTTTAGTATTAAGAAAGGCAGAATGTATACCTGTATGTGGAAGTTGCTTCATTTGTCATTGAGAAAGCGGGTATCTTATGTGAGATAGAGAATTATCTGGGCATCTGATAAATATTTACTGAATATTTTAAATCAGAATTCATGTAACGAGGGACAAACCGGACAAGCTGTGTGTTTATAAGAGCAGAACAATGGTTGCAATACTGTTCCTTCATGCATTTCTAATATTTATTCATTATTCTCAGACTTCCACACTGCAAGGACAAGCGAGGCTTCATAATAAGGACTGCAGCTCTAAAATTAGATGATTCTGCTGCAGCTTTAATTTCAGCAGCCAGTCAACAAGGCTGAGTTATTGTAGCTCTTTTTTTCATTACTGAGGTTGTGTCTTTGCAGGAATGGGAGATGGAATGTGCTACTGCTTTGCAATGAGCCGACTGTGGGTCTGTGTCCTGCTTGTGAGCATCACCTGCCGTCTGAGGTGAGGAACTGACTCCTGCAAGTTTGCATCACAACACAATATACTGAATTATTCACTCGTCTAGTTTATTTTATTCACCATGTCATATTTTCATTGATGCAATTACCTTTCTCATTATCACACTACACGCTTGTTTGGATTGAAGAGTTTTTCTCTCTAAAGCAATGACTTGAAAATGCTCTTTTATACGCAGCCTCACCCAGGAAGTGACTGGATCTTCCAAGGAGGCCGAAATAAATGACAATATCACCATCTTCACACGCATCCTGGATGGACTGTTGGATGGATATGACTACAGACTCCGCCCTGGACTGGGAGGTAAACAACACAAGCCTCAACACCTCTGCTATTTTTATAATAAAACAGTCACACTTTTTTTCAAGAAGAGATCTATGAAAATGTCTTTGGGTGTCTCAGCTCTGATGCTAAGCTAATACAGAGAGCTGTGTTCTTTTGGATTGAGATGAAAGAAAAAGGTGTGTATTGACAGCGCTGCGTGACAGATTACATCCCTTCAGTCCTCACAGAGAACAATCCTCTGCACTGCAACATCTGTCTTCTGCTCGTTCCAGACAGGAAGAATGTGTCTCTGTACTCGAGGTCTCTGACAAAGAGACATGATCAGCTGTTTACAGCCCCTCTAAGTATGATTTAATGGCACCGTGAACACACCCTGAGGCACACAGTGTGCCGGTGTGACCTTGAGAAAGCCATTATTCCTGCCATTAAACAGCCGGGCCCATTGTTCTCAGCAGATACAGGCCGGAATCGACTCAAAAGTTCTCATCAGGGAGGAGAAATGAAAAGAAATAGAAAATGTTTCCCTTCTAGTTCTGTGATGTTTTAGTATTGCAGTTTTTTTTTTCAAATAGTACATAAATAGCCTGCTAAATCATTATTTATCATGAACTCTGTCTGACTCTATATCAGAGTAAAAACATGATACTACAGTATATCACCTTTAAAGATGTTCATCCCTGTGATAGGTTGGGTTAGCTAGTGAGGCCAATATAAGCTAACAGTGAAAAGAAGTCTTTCTAAAAAGCTTCCTAACACGGACGCACAATCACATCCCTACAACATCAGCATGGTCTGCTAAAGGCTTCTAAGAGAAATATTACTCTGCAATTCATTTACCTGCTCTTTTGTAATGTTAACAGACAAAGAGTAAGGTATTTTACCTGCTTTTTGTAAAGTGTCTCGAGATAACACTTGTTATGAGTTGACGCTATACAAATAAAAATTGATTGATTGATTGATTTATAAAGCACATCTAAAAACAACACGATCACGCCTAATTGCCTCACAATCAAGCATAAATGACATTAAAACAACACCACAAAACAATAAGACCATTATAAAAACAACATTGGTAAGAAAAAGACAACAGTCATCAATCATGCAGCCAAAAACCCAGAAATAAATGGAGGTTTTGAGGATTGTTTTAAAAACAGGCGGTGAGCGGGGAAGCCCAACATAGTATCAGTCCTAATAATCAATATGTCTTCTTTCAAGGCCTTTGTAATGATGCTTAATTATGCTTATGCTGACATGTGTCATTGACTTTTTAGATGCTCTTAATCCATCCACTACATCCTCAGATACAGGTGATTTACATGTCACATACAAAATAAACATTTTGTGTTTTACAAATAACTGAAGTTCAAGCAGTCAGAGTTTAAATTGTAAGGCAGTTTACATGTTAACATGTTGACTCCACTTTAGGAAAATGTGATGGTCTATAAAGGTTTATAAATTGATACTTAGGCTAGTGGAAAAAAGTCAAATATTGTTCATCCATAGTGACAACGTATTAATTCAAATATTGACTGTTTATAAAGTCATTATTGTTAAATAAATCGCTTTAAGATGAGATAACCTTAGTTTTAAGTTTATCTACTTAAAATGAGGCAGCTGTGGCTCAGTGGTAAGGGTCAGTTTTCTGTCGGCCGGGGGTTTGATCCCCAGCTCTTTGTCACATGTCTGACAGTTCCTTGGGGAAGACATTGAGCAAGTTGCTCGTATGAATGTGTATTTATTGATCTATTTAATTCTGATGGTCACTTTGCATAGCAGCCTCTGCCATCAGTGTGAGCATGGGTGTGAGTGTGTAGGTGTGACCTGTGGTGTGAAAAGAGCTTTGAGTAGTCAGAAGACCAGAAGAGCTCTTTACAAGCTTAAGTCCATTAACCAAAAAAACCCCAAAAAACAAAGAACGCAACATAGTCTTTATTCATGTCACCACTAGAGGTCACTTAAGTCAGACTGTTGTATCTTTTTGTGTGTCTCTACCTCAGTGGAAGTTGATTTACAGTTTGTTTGTTTTTCTGTAACAGTCTAACCAGAAGTGGGAGATGATCTGTTCAGAAACCAAGCTGGCACTGAAGCGTCCTTTGTTTTAGGTGTAAGCAGTGATCGGCAATCTGTGAATACCTTACAGTATTCTGCTCGTTCATCCTGAATTAGTATTAAATAGGGTGTGGACTTTTCAATGTGTTTAACACAGCAGACATCAATCAAAATGTTTATTAATCATCACACATTACTTCCATCTTCAAACAAACAGATAACAGTCACATTTTCTGATCCGTACCTTATGATTGTGAAACTGCCGTAGCCAAAGACAGTGCCTGTTTGATTCAGGTTTCATTGAAGGAGAGGTTAAAAACAACTGACATCAAGTTCAGGCTCAGGGACTTTGGTTTGTATTTCTGATTTCTGTGACGTCCCAGAAAGCAAAATCCTGCGTCATTCCTTAAGAATAAATGTTGCCTATAATAACTCAGGAACTGTGCTTTACAATGTTCACAATAATCTTTTTATTCTTTCAGAAAAGGTGACAGAGATCAAAACCAACATCTTCGTCACAAGCTTTGGTCCGGTTTCTGACACCGAGATGGTAAGAAGCTACGTCTATAAAGTCCCTTTTTACTCGTATCAAAAAGGTCAGAATATTAAGGGTCATTTAAAAGCCTCTATTGTGTAATAATACCCAATAATGACATTTCTGTATCTGTTTATATTTCCCTAAATGTTCATTCAACTCTATTAATTAGGGAAGATAAGATTCAAACTTAACTAGACACAATAAAATGATAAAAGAGGATGTAAACTAATTGTAAGTACTAAATTAATTAAACTAAATAGGGAGTATAAACTCCAAACTAAATAGCAGAGTGAACTGAATTCATCAAAATGTGTTAAGGGAATTTTTATTGCAGTGTAGAGCCTACATTTACCAGGATCCACTCTGATATACAGCCATATTTGCTCAAAGTCAGCAGTGTGATCCTCATCCATAACATCCTCTACACTTGTGTTTTGGGATGTGTTCTGCGACGGTGTCGTAGTTTTTGAAGCTGGTTTGCATTTTAAGCAACAGAGAGAGTGAAACAATGAAAGCAGAATTAGCTTTAAGGTCTTTAAGAGCGCAAGAAATGTCAAATGACGCTTTTCTTGACGCCGAAACAGTAACAGATTTTTGTAGCTTTGCTCAGCTGCACCACAGACAAACTGGACTTCATTCAACAACATCTTTTGAAGTGTAAAGCTTGAATCTTTTCTGAAGAAAGTTTCTAAGAAAAGTCCACGTCTGATTCATGAGCCTGTTCTGAAACTGCGGCTTACACATGTGGTAATGTTGAAGTTCGTGCCAGTTTTCCTAATTAGCATATACAGACGCCCCTTTGATGCACATTTAAGGATATGAGACTTTGTTGTGCACAAAAATAATTCAAACAGGACTGAGAACAGAAGTAGAAAGATAAAATCTCAAACGATTACACATATTAGAAACACTTAAGTAGTTCTGAAATGGAGGTAGTGCTCAGAGTGAAAAATGTGTTATATTATAAATGTATGTGTATATGTAAATACAAAGTAGATGTCATGCATACAGGTTTCTAGCTGTGGCTTGTTTTCAACTCCCATGGGTCGTTGTGGATATAAAACCTGTTCTAAAAACAGACTGTATGTTGGATGATTTAAATCGTAAAGAGAACGCTGTTATCAGAAAATGATGCACACCAGGTAAAGCGAAAAGTAAAAAAGTGTGGACTCAAATCTGAAGGAAAATACGGCCAGAAATAGAAAATATTTGACCATATCACATTTGTCAGAATATATATAATTTTAGGTAACACTTCAAATTAAGGTCAAAGTACTCACCATTAAGTTGTTGCTTCAAAGTCTAATGATGAGTAGCATACTGGCTGATTATTAGTCATTAGTAAGAGCTTATTATTACCCTTTTCTACGTGACCAATATCCTCCTCCTTACTGCTTATTGATAGTAAGTTAGGAGGTTGTTTTACATGAATTATGATCTTAATATGCTTTGCTCTGTATGGCCCTTTATAAAGTAAAAGTAAACAAAGCATATATAAACATAATTCATTATTGGAATTTTTAACCTTTATTTAACCAGTAAAACCTCATAAAGATTACAAATCTCTTTCTCAAGTGTCCTTGCCAACACATGCTTCAAATGGATGGTACATCTGTTTTAAAGCAATGAAACATGACGTGTTTGTCATCTAAATATGTGTGTGTGTAAAAGAAGTCATCATTGTTTGCACTTATGAAGTCACACCAAACATTACATTATTGAGATGACAGTTCATGTTTTTACATGATCAGCTCCAGCTCTTTTACGATAAGATTTAGATAAAAACACCAAAAATCATCATCTCAGCACTCAAACGTGCATGAGTATGCTCCTGACCATTTCTATAGCTCGATCTCGATAAAGAAAAATAATCCAAGAACAGAAAACTTTTCTAATAGGTTTTCAGCATGAATGCCTTTTGAAAAAAAGGTTGGTGATTGAGCCATTGTGACAGAGAACATTGGCTTTAACTGTGTTTGTGTTTCATATGACATACCCAACTGTGGTACACTGAGTGAAGGTTGACCATTGTGTATTTCCTCTGTAGGAATACACGATTGACGTGTTCTTCCGACAAAGCTGGAAAGATGAACGACTTTGCTTTAAAGGCCCGATGGAGATGCTTGCCTTGAACAATCTTCTTGCCAGCAACATCTGGACTCCGGACACTTTTTTCCTCAACGGGAAGAAATCCATCGCTCACAATATGACGACGCCAAACAAGCTGCTGCGGCTGCAGGACGACGGGACTCTGCTGTACACCATGAGGTACGCTCATTAACGCTTTAAAAACTACAGTCTAACAAACATAAATCACTGAATCAGGAGAGCTGATGGGAGTTCTTTAAAAAATGTTGTGTGATCCAATTAGAGGCGCAGCGACGACTAAAGCCTCCATCAGCCTGAAGTGCTTCTTCTGGTAAAGCTTTTTAAGACCCCTGCTGCTCTCGTACAGCCCACTCACTCTCACTACTCGTCTCAGTGGTGCATCGATGCGTCACCATGTTGTCCTCGTTCTGTAAACTGAGGTCAGAGGAACTTGAAATGTTTGTTTCGACCCAGCGCTCTGACTCTCCTCCTCCACCTGCCCTGCGCCTCTACCTATCACTACATCACCACATCAGAGGAAAACAAGGCCTTGAGAGGAAAACAGAATCAATGTTTTGGTCTATAGCCAGAAAGTTTCACTTTCATATATTAAAGAGATGATTTTATTAATGAGTGAGATGTTTTATATAAGCTGCTATGGAAGATGTTAAAAAAATATGTTGAGCTTAATCAATATGGAGTCATGCTAACAAATCTGGTATTGCAGCTGAAACAGAGTTTATATTTTTGAGCTGGAATGGAAAACAGATTTTCTGCTTAGATTGTTCGGCAACTTAGCCTTCAAAATGCAAAGGTACTCTGAAGGCTGCTTTCTTAAAACTATTCAAAGTTTTTTTTTTAAGATTATTAAAACACAACATTGTGGTCACACAACATGACCTTTAAAGGCAGGGTTGGTCACTTTCGAAAACTAGCATGATTTTGAAATGAGCATTCCCTCAGTGCACTATGTGCATCCACCCCCTTCCCTCTATGCCGCGCCCCTCACTTACATGCACAAGCGCCATTAGTCCAGAAGCGGACCTCAGCTCATGCTTTGAGTGTGGGCTCGTGCATGCATGGGGGATAGAGAACAAGCAGGGAGACAGGGAGGCGTGTGATTGGTTCATCAGCTCGGTACCTCGTGGCAGACATTGGTCAAAATTTTTACATGCTTACAAACTGCTACAAATTATGGATTTTCTTTGTTCCTTTTTCAGAGCACATGAATTATTAATGTCTGTCAGGACCTAAAGACAATTTCAACCAAAATCTTAAATAATGGATCTGGAGAAAATTACCGACCCTGCCTTTAAAAGCAAACTGCAAAACCAAAGTCCATCAGGGAGAAAATAACTAAGTTCTTTGAATATTTGTAACCTCTGTATCTGATATATTTGTACAAACTTTTACTTAGAATGAAAAAGTGCAAAAGAATGAAAATCTGGGGCGCATGATTGTTTAGCGGTTATGTTTTGTGCCCCAAGTACAGGGACTACAGTCCTCATTGCAGCGGCTGTGGGTTCAAAATCTGAACTTGGCCCTTTGCTGCATGTCATCCCTACCTCTCTCGTCCCAACATTTCTGGTCTCTCTTCAGCTGCCCTATCTAATGAAGGCAAAAAGGCCCAGAAAGAAACTTCAGAAAATGAAGTCTTGAACATCTGACAGTGAGTTCGATGGTTAAAAGAAAGCAGGAAGAGATTTTTCATTGAAGAATTCAGCTGTTAACATATTCATGATTATAATAAGTTCTTATCTATAGAACTCCTCAAAGCCAATGTTGCTAAGTGCTTTACAAAACATACAATCGTAGCAGAAAAGTACACAACCAAGACACACTAAATAAAGAGAGACAACTTAAAACAATGATTGACTTATAGAAACCTTTCCATAAAAATAAGTGTACTCTGGGGTCAGGTGGTCAGGCAGTATAAGTTCATTAAAACAGGTGTTGTGTTTATTGCCTCATAGTTTTCATTAAGAGTGTTGCTGCTGAATTTAGCACAGTTCAAAATCCATGTAACACGCCATGACACATTTGTGATTGGACCTTATCGGCTAAATGATTGTCAATTTTGTTAGCGTCATCTGTTACTCAGAAGTCACTTCAGACGGGGGCCATTAGTTTGATTTAAAAACCTCTACATCCATTTAAAAGTAATTCCAGGATCAGTGTGTCTATTCTTTTGAGTGCAGCACATTAAAGTCATTAGAGTTCTAACATCGAAGCATCTCATTTACATCGACTTGAATGTCTGTTTCCTTTTCTCATCAGTAACTTAAATCCTCCAAATCGAACAATAGACAGAGAAGCTGGAGGAAACGGGCATGAGTGCATATTAACACAGAATATTGATCTGCTTCAAATCTGCAGCAGATTTGCTCTGCACGCTACAAGCTATTCTAAAAGGGTTCACAACGGTCTGCTAATGGGTTTGTGTTCTGGGAACGAGGTTATTAGAGAAACATTTGATGCAGTTGATGTTTGTTTTTTCATAGAACGGACTGTGAGCAGTGACCCGGTGAGTTTATGAAAATCAGTCTCAGAGGAAAAGCCGAGTTTCGACCCTCCGACTCCTCTGAATCTAAAACCTAAAACATACCTGTGTGTGGAAAAAAGCCCACTGACAGCAGTAATTTATTTCTTTTGATTCAGTTTATAATTTCTCTGCTAGTCTCCATTGTTCTTGATAGTCATTATGATTTATTAAGGAGCCAGCAGCTCATTTATTGGACTTCACTAATTAAAGCCATTCGACGCTGCAGTTTACTGTTAAGTCCCTCTGTGGACATTAGTCATGCTCAGAGAAGAAATGTCAGAAACAAAACCATATTAGCCAAGAGGACCTCACATTATCCATTAGAGTTGCACCTTATAATAAAAAAAATAAACATCTTTATTTCAGTAATTGATCTGGAACGAACACTAATTTATTAATGAAGATCACAGAAACTGCAGATCTCTCCCTGTGTGTTTTACAGAAACCGTGTCCCACTCCTCAGCCAGAATATACACATTCATAAACAAACACACCTAAAAAAATAGATGTGCCATATATATTTAAAGCACAATAATTTCTTAGTTGTATTGTTCTTTTATTTAATTTCTGGACTGTGGGAATACTTCTTTTCACATAACTTCAACAGGGTTCATTTGTTAAGATTGTATACTTTGTGCTATGTTAGCATGGACTTAAACTTGATCAACTAAATGAAATAAACCTTTGTGCTGTGGGTAAAGCACACGGGACAATGTGCTGTTACTTGGTGCACCTTAAAGTCTGTTATATTGATGTAAGTCACTATGACAAGGTAAACCATCAGTTAGATTAAAATCCATATTATGCATTAGTATACATCAGTAAGTTCTGACCAAGTATTCTTATTGGATAAGAGGCATTTCATTGGTGCTGATCAAGCGGCAACCTCCGGTCTTAGAAATTGAAGCCAATGTGGAAGTGCAACATCCTGCAGTCCGTCGAGGGTCGGCTTGAGGCACAGCATAAATGAACCTGGTGAAAGCATAGACTGTAAATATTAAGGGTTAAAGCCTGTTACAATAAACTAAATAGGTCTGATAAGTTATTGTCATCATGGGCACACACTGTAGGGGGGGTGGATTTATATAAACGGCTCCGTTTTGATTTTATGAACAATACATGTTTTTCATAGTAAGGTGCAGAGGTGGGCGAACTTTACTGTTTTGTCAAGAAGCTTAAAACAGTCAGGCGTCTATGGTGCTGACATAGAGCAGACATCACAGGGACTTTTCACAATGTGTATCACTGTACATCAGATGTACTGAATCCAGTGAGTTAACATCACAGCAGACCGAGTGTGTTCTGTTTAATGTAGCTGATACCTCTGAATCATAAAACACACTCGTATTTAACTCACTGCATGATGATATAAAAGACAGCAATACATGCACATAAACCAACGAAGCTGTTCTTTTGTAACCATGGAAACAAAGAAAGAAGCAAGAGCGCAGGATAATGTTTGGGTTGCTTAGCAACAGATCAGTTTCAGTGAAGATGAGGTTTTAGTGGAATTGGAGCAAAATATTATAACCTGTTAAACTATCTTTTTATGTTGTCATCAAAATGAAAATGCTATAATTGTAATGCAATTGCAATGCTTGAATTATTAACAATGGATACATGTTTTCAAGAACCACATGTTAATCTTTCTGTTTTAGAATAACCATAAAACTTTTTTTTTTAAATTAAAAATTAGTTTCAATATAAAAGGAGCCAAATTCAAATTGCCAAATGACAGCGGCACAACAAAGCTGCAACCAGAGAATCTATTGATAAAAATAAACTTTATATGAATAGTCTTTTTGAACACAAAGTTCACAAAGTCTTTTTCATAATTAAAAAAAAGAAGTATAACAACTAAAGAAACTAAAAAAGATGAGTGTGGCTAATAAAGCACAACTGCTGTCAAGGATACAAAATGAAGAATACAACAGTTACTGACTTTGAAAATAATTAAATATAATAAAAAAACTGAAACTATTCTGTGGATTGACTCATTAGTTAATCATTACTCGATCAAATGTTTTCTGTGAGGCTTTCTAACAGCAGAAGGTAAGATGCTTAAAATGAAGTTGACTCAAAGTGAATCACAGAGGGACATTTTACACACACACACACACACACACACACACACACACACACACACACACACACACACACACACACACACACACACACACACACACACACACACACACACACACACACACACACACACATGCTGCACACACTCAGCTCTCCCTGCACAAACAGTCCATGAGAGAGTGATGCAGCATGGACCAGTGAACAGAGTCTGATTATCATACAGTATAATAACTCACTCTGTAATATATCACCTTCAGTAAAATCTCAGACTCATCACTATTTTTCTTCTCTTCCTCACTGAATACCCATACAGGCTGTTGTGTGTGTGTGTGTGTGTGTGTGTGTGTGTGTGTGTGTGTGTGTGTGTGTGTGTGTGTGTGTGTGTGTGTGTTGATGTGGGGAATATCTTCTCTAAAACTGATGACACAGCAGATGACCTTTAATATACTGAAATCCCTCTCCCCTGCTCAATTTACATCCTGCTTTATTTATACACTTGTATTAGCATATTATGGGATAAGGCACTATGGGCTCATACTTATGCAAAATAGTTCTATTCATAGTCGTATCACTGTATGCAAGTGTATTTATAAACTACTTTATATGAATGCATATTCTGTGGGTCAATGTTGAGCTATATCAGCAAACACTTCCTGGGATTGTAACCCTTTAAGATGAAGTTTTCTCTGTTAAAGTAAAATAGGTACTGCACACTTAGACATTTGTTATAGCTCTTAACTACATGTTGTTTATGACTGCACCGTGATGAATGTCTACAATACTGCTGTAAATATTGTGATATCATGCAAAATTAGCACAAAAAAGCCTCTAATTGGTAAAAATAAAGTCTTCAGAAAAAGTCTTCTGTATTTCATCAGACGAGTCAAACATTGGTATAAAATAGATTGTCACTTTTTTGTCCTGAACATAAAAGAATAAAAAAAAACTGCTACAGCAGCCTGTGATCAATATCACTAACAGACCTCTGCCTCCCACATCACTTTAACTCTTTAGCCCTTTAACCACTTGTTAACATTTTTAAATACTAACACAGGGGTTAGGCTCGTGAAGTTACACTTAAAAAAGAATCATATTCTACATCATCCTACAGCGTCATAATCTGCATTTAAGACTCCATGTTTTTATGGCTGCACTGTTTCAATATAATCAAAATGTGTAAATAAAATTTGCATCATAATGTACACGTTTTGATATCATTTGGCTTTGAGTCTTTTTTTAAATAGAATTCAGTGTGTTTGAAACACATTGTGTGGAACATCTGGAGTCACAGCCACATGTTAAGGATCTTTTCATCTATGTGTGCTATATTATACTTGTTGTAGTTTCTTTCTAAGTTGTGTGATTTATAAGTACAGATTTTTTTCTTGTAATTCAAGTTTAACTACAGCAGAAAAATGAATGTAGTGGAAGTAAAGAAAATATCCCCCCTTAGATCTTTGTACAGTCAAAGGACAAAGTCAAAAACCTGAAATGTTGTGGTGGTCGGATGAGCAAAAACTGGAATGGCTGTTTATGTGCGATGTCTCTTAGCTTGCTCATTTTGTCTCAAACCTGGAAAAGGAGACAAAATGGTCTTTTGAATGAGTGTTTTATTTTGTTTTCATGACAATGACTACACTTCTACACACTCTGATCCTGGGGGAGTTTAAATTTCATGGTGACATGTAAGCTCGTAGAAAAACTTCAGATTAAGGTGAAGAACCTTGAAATACTACATATAATAGTGCTATGATATTGTCTGTCTGTCTGTCATTGACACATTTCCTGATTCTTTCTGCTGGCATCAGTGTTGATGACAGCTGGACTGACTGTTATAAGTCTGTCCAGCAGAGGGCAGCATTACATAAGACTGAGTGACTCATAGTGTACCCTCCTGATAAACTGACTTGGTGTTTTATCTCAGTCCCACAGACAGGTGGCAGCCTTACTCCAAAAAATAATCCACAGCTGTGGTTAAACTTTTTTTTTAATCTCATTATTGCACACATAGTAACATCATGTGCTGAGGGAGAAAATTACAATTCACTCTGCTGTTTATTATCTGAGACACAATAATGAAGACAGAGCAGGATTCTCATTGGTTAATGGATGTATACAAAATTAAACAGGCTTTATAAATAAAAAATCATAAACAATAAAAGGACATGTTCAAAAATAGTGATCATTAAAAAAATGTTACACACAGTCAATTTACCTTCAATTATTTGTCAGCAGGATTAATTCTCCTCACGACTATCTTCATCTTAATGCTTTTATCAACTATGTTTTATTTTTATTTCAAACCTATGTGATGCATTTTATTCAAATTTGTTCTATCTTAGTTTTATGATAAAATTCACTTTCCATCGTATCGTTTTTATGACAGTGCACTTATTAGATCTTGTTTTTGTCTCGTGAACAAATGTATTTATGTATTTGTTTTCTATACTGTAGAGCTCTTCTGACTGCATTTCTTGAATGAAAAGTGCTGTGCAAAAAAAGTTGATTATTTGTTTTATTATTCTGACTTTTCTGCATGACTTGTCTTTTCAGACTGACTATATCAGCAGAATGCCCCATGCAGCTGGAGGATTTCCCAATGGACGCCCATGCCTGCCCCCTTAAATTTGGAAGCTGTAAGTAAACGTGCCCAAAGGCAAATGCACAACATTTAATAATGCAGGAAAAGGTCACGTCTAAATGTTTCAACAGCATGCACAGTGACAAATGAGCACTTTAAGCATTTTAAAACATATCTCCAGACACAAGGTCACTAGTTAGAAAATGAGCCCACAGTTTTGACGTTGCATTAGTGTTAGTCTTTTTATCCATTTGGAGGATTCAGGATCGATGTACCTTGGTGTGTCTGACAGCCCTTGTCCCTCAGGTGCTAAAACTATTGTTGTGGCGGTGCAGGAGACAGCCATGCAGACAGTGACACACTGCTCCTGATTAAGCCATTAATCAACGTGCCAGGGCTGCTCTCTGCACCCCTCACTGCCTCAGCTACACTTAATGGGAAATGTTTGAAACACAGAGTGGAAACAGCCCACACCAAGTCAAATCCTACACCTTGCACATGCATGGCTAAATCTTGTTGTAACTTGTTCCCAGCCTTTCACATGACTTCTAAGCTTTTAAAGGTGGTGTCACACTGCTGCGGTGCTGCAGAAAGATCTGGGGAGCTCCTGTCCTGTCAGTTTAAGATTAGGAATTTAGGTCTCCCTACTCTGACGTATGGCGGGTTATCCCTCGCGTCAGTCTGCTGCATGCACGACATGTAGCAGCTCCCACACCTGCTTTGGTCACCTAAACCCCCAGCTGGGGGATGGGTATAATCAGAGCAACTAACTGGGACTACCTCGGCTTGAGCACCTCGCGCCCAGCAATCAGAGGTCAATTCAGTTATCAGGGAGCCCAAAAAGCCAAAACCTGCTTGGATTAATTAGAAGCGGTTTAAACACAGAGATCTTTATCCTGTGTCCTGCAAATTCTGTGTTACTGAGATTATAGCTTAATGAGTTACTTACATCGAATTAATTTATTTATCCGGACAGGGATAATTATATCAATAAATACAATTGAAAAACTTTAATGCTTAGCCAAGGCGGAGCAGCTGTTGTATCATGTTTAAAAGTTTAGTGAAGCCAAATGTAATGAAAGTACGGTACGTCTCATAATTGTCAGCTGTTTTAGTTTTTGTAGACATAATATTGTAGGCAATTTATGAATAAATAAGATTATTTCATTTCAATCCCCTCACAATAAAATGCAAAGTTTTGCTTATTTTCTTCATAAAAAAAGGAAATCATTTTTTATTTGAGAATTGTAACTAATGAAACAAAACTTCTCCTTTAATATTACAAAAGAACCTTTTGAATAGTTTTGTTTAAAATAAAAGTTTATTTTTTAAACAAATCTTTAATCAAATTAATACAAGTATATCTTAAATCTGAAAAATCAACAAGAGGTGCAGCCTGTGTTTCAGAAAGTGGCAGAAAGCTTTTAAAATACACTAAATTTCCTCAATTCATTCTGCTGGTTAAAGAAAATTCAATTTCATTTGGCCATATGTGTATTGATTTTTAGTGTTACTGTAAATAATTGTTAAACATGCAAATATATTTATGTATTAGGGATGTCAAACGGTTAAAAATTTGAATCGTGATTAATCGCTCCATTTCTGTAATTAATTCACATATTTGAAATTCCATAACTGTTAGGCTTTTATTTAGGATTTTTGTACTTTCACAAACTAAGAGCACTTTACTTGCTGTTTGAATTCAACAATGCTTTTATTTTGAAATGAAGTAAGGACGTGCTGGTAGATAAGATTACAACATTAACTAAACCACAGAAAAATAAACTTGTCGCACTTATAGTACTAAATAAAAACAGCTCAAAGGAACGGTACAAAGTGAAATGTGTGATGTCATAAGGCTGGACAATGACTACCTCCCACAAAGGTAATGGCACAGAATCCGGGCGCTATCTTCAAAAGAAGAAGAACTTTGTTGACCCTGATATGATTTTTAAAACCTAATGACGGTGTAAAACTACAGCCCGTGCGAGGTTATAATCTGTAAAAGTTACCGTGGTGCAGCATATCCTGTTTCCTCCGACTCCATTAACCCCCGCTAATCCTTTGACCTAATGGACAGCACTCAACCACGAGCTGCAGGCTTTCAGAGCGACAGCAGACCTGTCCTGTGCTGTTGTGTTAATCACCTCTCATGGACTGAGCTCTGCCATCAGCAGGCTCGCTCTCTGCCTCATGACTCTCTAGCTGTAGCAGCATGTGTAATACAGCTGTGTTTTTTATGACAATTAAAAGAAAGCGTTCTATAATTAGAAATGTTCTGAGTAATGTCAAAGTGATGAAATTAAGTGACATTTGCAATTTGTTGCCAGGTTTGAGTTTTCGTGTGTTTCATTTGTTGTATTCAATATTCACAATTAAATGATGTCGTTTCAGGACCAAGTAATCTGATTGGACAAGAGACACTAATTCATCAGTGCTGACAGTACAACAGCCCTGTGACCTTTTAACTTAATGTATCGCTCCGTTACAGAAGTTCTGACTGTCGTTATTTAACCACATCTAAGAGTCTTTGTCTAGATTGATCGAGCTCAAACTCCTGAATCCCAAACGCCACCATGTCAGCTGTCAACAGACTCCAAACTCAATGAATGCATGATAAACAGACATATACAGATAAAGCCACAAACAACACTAGCATAGCTAAACGTAGCTGTTTTGCAGTAACACGCAGAAATATATGAAGAAGCAAGTATTTAAAAAGAGTTTGTTTTTGACAATAGTCCAGATCCAGTCAAGTTGTTCTTTATGTAAGTATAGCCTTAGGAATAATTAAAAAAGACAAAAGCCTATCTGTTGTTTTTAAATGTCAACAGTCATATGAAAGCAATTGTACACTTAAGAATATCAGCACTACAGCAACATTATTATGATGCTAAAGTTGTTAGAACATCAACCTATATGATAGGCTACTTTAGCAGTAGCTCATTGCTTATTAAATAGTTTTTTTTATAAATGGTGAATTGTAATTTTCACATAACTACATTTTGTACAAATGTAGGCTTCATTCTCCGTCAGTTTTCTTCTCTGTTGTATATTTATGCTACTAAAGTTTTAGCCTAGCTTATCCCCTTTCATCCGTGTAAACCACTCTGTGTGATTTTCTAATGAGTTTTATCTCTCCTTACATGTGCTCTCTCTTTGCAGAAAGGTGGATGAAAAAAACACAATTCCACTGTAATCCTTTCTTTTATTATAAAGCTACAGCTGCCGAGCATAAAAACTGCAATTAGTCTAGAAAAAAAAAAAAAAAGAAGCTAGTGAGGCCAATGTCATTTAATTTACGTAGAACTAAAACTCATCAAATATTACATCTTCTTTAACTGACTACAGAAACCGTGGAGTCTGCAAAACATGTTGTTGTGATGATCTTGGTCATTTTTGCTGTTTCCGCCTCCTTCTTGTCTTATGCTAGGCTAAGCTAACATTTAGCTAGCTCTAGCTTCTTAAAACAGAAAGCAGATGAGTGGTTTTGATGTTCTTGTATACTGTACAGATTGTAGATGTAGAAGGACAAAGAAAACCCTGAAAATAAAACTCACATCAAACCTGACTATATTAAAAATATAGCAAGGTCTGTGGAAAATGGCAGAGGGAAAACTTCCCACAACACTCAGTTTCTTTTAAAATACAACAAATATATCCTCTATAGCCTTCTGGTGAGCTATATTTAAACAACTCTAAAGTTTTTCTCAGGTCTTAAACATATCCAGGTCATATCATAGCAAAATGCTCATTTTGAAATGAGTGTTCCACGTCTAAATTCCCTGAATTGCAAACAGAAAGAACAAAAGATAGAAAAATATAAAAATACACTTAAGTTGTGTTAATATGGCTTATATCTTCTTCCTTCATTATAAAAACATTATAGTGCTTGTTAAAGTTTAAAACTGTTAATTATGTTGTATTTTTACGTTTCTGTTTGTGTCTCTATTACTGGACTGAACATAGACGTGTTGATTGTCTCAGTTACAGCTGAAGAATGAAAAGGCAGCTTGAACTTTTCACTGAGAGGTATTATTGAAAAGTCTGCCTAATTGGTTTAGTATGATTGGGTTTAGTGTTCCTCACATATATCTAATTAAGCTCCTGAACATGAGCAGCTTTTGGCACCTAAAGGTCACCTGTGAACATGCAGTTTTTTTGTATAATAATTATTGTTTTAACCACAGATGCTATAGACTGGGATGCATTTCTGATCAGGGATTCCCTGTAAATGTCAGTGACTCTGTATGATAGGGCTGGTAGCCGTATACAGACTGCCGTCTCAGACTGGGACACCAATATTACGCCTTCGCAGAGTCTTTGTACGTTATGAACGTACAAAGATGGGATGATGGCTGTGTTAAGTTATTCGTCACTTTTGCAAAAAAAATAAAAGCAGTCTGAAAAGATTTACGTTAGAGTATTTCTCAAACACACCGCACTTGTTCTGAGGTGTGATATCGTAAAATGAATGGTTGGTGCTCAACAAATGCAGCAATGCAATTTTAAATCTTAAGGTTAACGAGCAACATATACAGTAACAGTGTAGGAAAAGGGTAAAAAAAAAACATTTCCAGTGGAAATAAAAAGGGTTAGAGATACTGGTAGTAGGAAAGGATGCAATAATATCAGTTATATCTTAAATCTATTCAAAATCATACACGGCGTAAACAGGAAGGATGTGATCACATTACATGGTCATATATTATAGAGCCTGAAAGTTGAGTTGCATACAGATGTGAGACCAAAAACAGATCTTTGCTTAAGTTCTGTATAGTTAAAGTTTTTGGTACAAGATTCTCTCCACCTCGTCTCTGCACAGAAACACAGACAAGGGAAACGACAAGAGCCGATTTTATTTACGACTTAAATCACTAACTTTAAAGGAATCCTTTTTTTTTACAGACAGCTGAAGCTTCATATGAGATACAATTCTAAAGAAAGAGGAGAAAAGAGGATTGTTGATATACCTCCAGCTTGTTTATCAAAGGCAAATGGTTTTATTGGCCAAAAGCAAAAACCTGTTCATATTTGGCTTGTAAGTATTGTTCT